ACATACTTAAAAAAAAGAGCAATTTAGTAATTAAACAAATAAAATCTCTTGCAATGAGGTTTTTTGAGACTTTAGAATAATTTGATGATTTTAAAAGACTTTTTTCTATTTAATTCTCTTAGATAGGACCTTATTATAATTTTTCCTTATATATAAAGTAGAGCAAGTTGCAGCGTACGAGGGCACCACCATGTGAAATTCCCATACATGAGATCTGGTGTTGGCATCTCAAGCCTTTACTTTAAGTAGATTGCCTCTCCTTGTTATGTTGACTACATTGTTCTTCTCTCAACTCGGTGTTGACTTTGCCATCCATTAAACTTCTCTACCTATATAGTTGACTTTATCACATATAAGAGATAGTTTTTTGTTTATATGCTGATTAATTATTTTTTTCTCTCGCCCTAGGTATTCTTTCTGTTCATATTTACAGTTTGATTAGATGGATTTCTTTTTAAGAGAATTTTTCAGGCGAAATTATTCACAACCTTAAAATTTTAGATCACGCACAAGTAAACTTCTGACTTTTAAGTAATAAATCTTTTTAAAATTTGTTCACAAAGTATTTTACTAATAAATAACAACATTATTTAATTTCGACAATAATTATTTGCACATGATAGAATCCTATGAAATTTAGGTTTTCTTTCTTTATTGTAAGTCAAACCTCCCTTTACCCTCACAAAATTTTAAATGTATCAAATTGCAGTCTAACATGTAATCTTGGAATAAGTTATTCTTACCATTTAATTTCCCAATGAAAATGAATGAAGTAGAATAGAAGCTGGAAATCAATATTGAAGAGCGTAAGCCAATAGCTTGTGATATCTAAATTTTTTAAATTTTTTTTGGAGATTTAGAGTAAAAAGTCTGATGAAATGAAACCATTCACAGTATGTTCCCTGCAACATTCCTTGGGGCCCGGAAATTGCACCCTACAAATCTCTTGATGAAAGAAGAGACAAAAAGAAAGACAAGTTCCTGTAATCAATAATAATAACAGATCATTTGGAAATAAGATGGCATTAAATTCAAATTCAAATCCATGGAAGAAAATAGATCCAAATGAAGATCCGCTTTCGTCTGCGTCGCATCCGGAGCTCTAGATAATGCTGTGCTTTCTATATACATTTCCCACACAAGAAGACAGCCCGAACTTAAAAGCACCCAATACTCAATTCACAAAGTTGTGAAATAATTTGCTTTAAAATATAGCTAAGAACGCGCTTTTGATTGGTTGTACTTGGTTTACTTTATATGCAAGCCATGGAACCAGCTAGCTGTGAGAACTGTGAATGCGAACTGGCTACTAGGGTATGTACAAGATCGTTCAAGTAATTAATGAAGTATACCCATTTAACTATATATTGTACTAATAATTATTATGAGCACGAAATCCGCTATAGCACATTGCCTCCACTCTGGCATGCTTGTGCCAAATTTGTTCTACGTATTCTACCATGCACATATATATATTTATATATATATATTTAAATACAAGAATATCCGTCCTAGCTCCTTCACTTCACCAATCTCTTTCTCATTCATCTTCTTCGGCTCTTCAGGCGGGAGCTAGTATCTGCAATTTACTTTGGAACTATAAGATGAAGCAGGCCACTTTCCAAGTGGTTCTTGTTGGAGTTTTGGCTTGCTTGAGTGCTCTTCGTGTTGGAGCTGAAGATCCGTATTTGTTTTTCACATGGGAAGTGACTTACGGAACAATTTATCCTCTGGGTTTTCCTCAACAGGTTGCTTTTGCTTTCTTATTTCTGTGTGTTTTGTGTAATAATTTCTTACTGGAATTGAAAAGTATCTGAATTAATTTATATGACCAGGGCATTCTCATCAATGGCCAATTTCCAGGCCCTACCATTGAAGCCGTCACCAATAACAACATCATCGTGAATGTCATCAATAAGCTGGACGAGCCTTTCCTCATCACATGGTTAGTCCTCGATTTTACCATCTGGACCAGATTCAAATTAAAATTATTGGGCTCTATTAATTAAGAATAAGATGAAGTAATTAGCATTATCCAAATTAATAACGTAAGGGATATGTGTGTGCTCTACAGGAATGGAATACAACAGAGAAGGACATCATGGCAAGATGGAGTGCTTGGGACAAACTGCCCAATTCCTCCAAACAGCAATTGGACTTACAAGTTCCAAGTTAAAGATCAAATTGGTACATATAATTATTTCCCATCCACTAAACTCCACAGGGTGGCTGGGGTTTTGGTGGTTCAACATTAACCAAAGGTCTGTGATTTCCATCCCCTACGACAAACCTGCCGGTGACTTTACCCTCCTCGTTTCCGATTGGTTCAAGACCAGCCATAAGCTCCTCGCCGAACGATTGGATGCCGGTTTCATTCTTCCTTTTCCCGATGCTCTTCTCATCAACGGCCTACAATCCACTGCCGTATTCACCGGTCAACCAGGTAACCGATCTTAGCTTGTTCCGGATTCTTATTCCTAGATTTCTGTATCAGTATTTCCCCCCTTTCAGAAAAAAATGAATGATGAGAGATGAATGAACTTGTTTGTTTTCAGGGAAGACATACAAGTTGAGGATTTCGAATGTGGGATAGCAACGTCAATAAACTTCAGGATTGAAGGGCATTCCATGAAGCTGATTGAAGTTGAAGGGTCACACACGATGCAGGAAATGTACGAGTCACTGGATGTTCATGTGGGCCAATCCATGACAGTTTTGGTGACTCTTGATGGGCCACCAAAAGACTACTACATTGTGGCTTCAAGCCGCTTCATTAGGAAAAACCTCACTGCTATAGCAACTCTTCGTTATGATGGGTCCAACACCAAGCTCTCCGGCCCATTACCCCGCGCCCCATCTTTCTATTTCCATGGCTCCATGAAGCAAGCCAGAACCATCAGGTATTCTCATTTTCCTTTGAAAATACAAAGTAAATCTTTGGTTTTATTAGAAAATTACTTTATCTTTGAAATTTGCGCATACCCCTAATTATATGTTTTTCTGATTGCATTGTGTCTTTGTTGTTGTGTGTACGTATGGATAGATGGAATCTGACAGCAAATGCAGCCCGGCCTAACCCACAAGGTTCATACCACTATGGAACCATTCCAATTGCGAGGACAGTCGTATTGGCAAATTCCAAAGTCATTATTGATGGAAAGCAGCGATTTGCTGTGAATGGAATTTCCTACGTAAATCCAGACACCCCATTGAGCTTGCTGATTGGTTCAACATATCCGGTGTCTTTAACTTGAACACCATCAGAGACTTCCCTCCTTCTCCTAATACTCCTGCTGTTCTCGGCACCTCGGTCCTAGGATTCACCCTTCATGACTTTGTCGAAATTATCTTCCAGAACACCGACTATGCTCTCCAGTCTTGGCATATGGATGGAGCAAGCTTCTTTGTTGCCGGGTAATAAGACATCCCACTATCAATGATCCTTCATAGTCGAATTGTCTATACTAGCTACTGAATAATCTTAATGTTGATCAGGTACGGTTCTGGCCTGTGGAAACCTGATTTGAGGAGACGCTACAACTTGGTTGATGGTATTTTCAGACACACTGTTCAGGTGAGTGAAACTCACAATAAAAATAGCTTCTTTGATTTTAGTGTTTTGATTTAGATTATACATATAATATATATTGACGCACTGGCTTGGTTTCTGAACGAATGAATGGATATATAGGTGTATCCGAAGGGTTGGACGGCCATTCTGGTACCTTTGGACAACAAGGGAATGTGGAATCTGAGGTCTACTGTATGGCCAAACCGATACTTAGGACAGGAATTGTATCTAAAAGTGTACAACGATGAGAATAGCATTTACACTGAGGCTGATATTCCTCCTAATGCACTGTTTTGTGGCAAAGCGAAGCCCCAATAGTTAATTCGATAGTTATTAATTATTAGTTACATAAGGATTTATTAGTTACTTCTTCTTGATTAGCTTGTGTGTGACTTTGAATTCATTCTGATTATTTTCTTTAGAGATTCCAGTTACTAGAGGGTAACTGTCTACAAATTTACCGAGAAAGAGATATTGGGTTTCCGATCGATGTTGCAGCTTATTATGCTTCCTTCTTGTTGTATTCAATTTGATTATTTCTTGTAATCATAATAAATTAATGAAGTTTTCATTTCACTTTTATAACTCGCTTCCCGTAATTTTTTTTTCGCAGCACGGTTGCCAGTAACTTCTCAGCTAAACGCACATATCAAATTTTCGACGGAAATCGAACTTAAAGATTCATGTTAGTTTATTAGTATTGCTTTTTTTTTAATATATGTAGTTTATTAGTACTATTTTTTTTCTGAATATATGCAGTACTATTCCGTTCTTAAATGTAAGACCCATTTTGTAATGTAATTACACTGTAAAATAGGTCTTACATTTAGGATCAGAAGAGTATTTATTTACTATTGCTCGGCTGTAACTTTGAATGCTATTGTATAGATGGTTATATATTAATGAAAATATTAAACAACTGCAGAAGGCTCTGGCCACCAAAAGAGAAAAACAACTAAGAAGGTTAAAAGAAGGCTCGGGCTACCAAAAGTGAAGACCAACTAAGAAGGTTAAAGAGGAAAAAAATTAAAAAAAAATCCGAATAACCGATCTGAAACGATACAAATTGAATTGATTTGAAAATTGGAGCGGCGGAACCAACTTCTATTTCATCATATTAGCTTTTAGACAATGAATGATTAATATGTTCAAATCATTTGATTTCATCCCACTCTACCACACTCATTAAAGTCTTAACTCTTAAGCCATCATTTCAATCTAGGCGTAGGCTAGTCGTTTCTTTCAAGGATCCAAGTGGAGCCTGACATGCTGTTTCAAGTTCTTGCAACTTTACCCCGTAAACGTTGACCCAACTAATTGATTTATCGAGAAGAATTAAGATAATCTGGCCACTTCAAGCATGATTTTAAGGGGTCTAATACTTAATTATTGATTAATTATAATTAATTTCGAATTTAAACCGTGGGGATAGTACGTCTTCAGTCTTCAGTCTTCACACTTCCATGTCATAAGGCTGCAGGATGAGATTCTTACAATAATCTAATAAGCTGTTTGAGGAAACTCTTTTCCAAAGGCTGCTTTAACTTTACATTCATCGATTTCTCGCAACAAACAAAATCTTTTGCATATGCTACCCACCACACGCGCCCCCACTATGTTCACTTCTTATTATACCTCAAATCTGAAACCCTAGATTAACTTCCGAGTTTACCAAGATGATAGATTCTCCTACAGAAACAAAGCCTCAATTTACCTTTTTTCTCGTATAAAATATAGCTTTAGAAATAGCTAGGAACTGAGATTATATAGTGAAGCTGCAACAAATATATACAGATATAGAGAGAGAGTGAGGAAAAAAAGTTGAAAAGCAAAAGAAGAAAAGAGATTCGGATCGATAAATCAAGAGATCTGGAAACTATTGAGTAGCCAGCCTTGAGAATAAATTAAACACTCTCCGCTTGTACCATTCAATTCTAACGCTCCCTGGTCCTTCTGGACGGGAGTTTAACTAATTAAACACGCCATTAAGCAAACAAACCCAAAAAAGGAGAGGAAGAACATGCTACAGCCATATTCATATTATACCCACCCAAACCAACCAACCATAGTGGAAGCAAACCCTAAAATACAAAGCATTTCTGATGGGAAGAAAATAAATCTAAACACTTAAATAAAGAAATTATATGGTATGGTTACGGATGTGCACCATTGGTCGTGGGAAGATCAGACCAGAAAAGAGGTTGGTTCCAGTACCCCAATCCAATTCCACTCCCATTAGCTTGAGTTGACTCTACAATGGCTACAGAGGAAGATGATGATAAAGAAGAAGAAGCCATGTTGCTTAGAAACAGCGATGACGAGTCGTCACTGCAATAGTTGGCTGAAGATGAGGACCTGAGCCTCTGGTAGAGTTCCTGGATCCCACTGTTTTGGTGCTCGCCGAATACAAATCCTCCATTTTGTGGTTGATGAGCTGCTGGCTGATGATCGAGATTGTTGTTTCTCCAGAAAGAGCTAGTGAGGCCAAGGGAAGGATCAACCCGAGGTTGGAGGAACATTCAGAAGGCCACTAGAGCCCCCTGGTCCAGTTACCATGTGGGATCTCATCA